GGTGCTGTGGGTGGTATTCGTATGGATGTGAGATTGGATGTGGTCGGCGGTGTGATGGGTTCGCTGTCGTGTGAGAGAGCCGCGTTTCGGAGGGGGATGCACACTACTACTGTGGTGTGTGAGTGGCTTGGCCCAGGACCGGGGGCGGCGCACGGCGGACGGCGGCGAATCACACGGCGCGGCCTCCTTTTCGTACCTGCCGTAGTGCTGAAGATCCAATCCTCCGCAAATCGAGACACCCGACTCTCCTACGACCAACTCACCTACCTGACCTTACCGACCGTCACCCACACTCCCATTGCACCACCACTCCCATCTCACCTGCGAACGACCCACCTCACCGCCGTCTCTCGGATCAGTCACTCTTTTACCATCACCACCACCACCACCACCACCACCACCACCACTACCACCACGCTCCTTTTCTCCCTCCGCCCACGCCCTTCGTTTGTGCGACACGACGCCTTGCCCACGCCGTATGCGACCGGGCTTCTCTCTTGCCTGAAACGCGACACTCACCTGCATTCCACCGCCCAAGACTACTCCTCACCCGACCTGCTGGTGCTTCTCCTCTCTCTCTCTCTCTCTCTCTCTCTCTCTCTCTCTCTCGCTGGGAGCCGCCTATCCACCACACAAGCCCTCGCGGTTGGCCTCGAAACGCGCAACACCCGACTGCCGGCCGTACTCACGACCACCACACGAGCATCGACTTGGACACACGCTGCAGAGGAGGACCACGAGCACCCAATCTCCATCGTTCTGCCTCCGTGGCATGAAGCCGTAGTGAAGGTGTACACCTGTTTGTGCCCTTCTGCTCGACGCGCGCTGCGAGACGAGACACACTCGGTCCGTCAGCCTCCGACTTCCTCACTTCCCCTGCGGACGAGTCACGCTTGCGCTGCTGGCAGCCGCAAACACAGGTATCTCACACCCTAATTACCCAACACCCGTCACATGCCCCTTCACCAACATCATCTGTCGGCCTGCAGTATTGACGGCCCGAAGCTGACTCCTCATTGCCGTCAGGCCATTTCGCTTGCCTTGATCTTGCGAGCCGCTCACACCACCCCCTCCTTGCGTCGGCCTCCATGTCCAGACTAACGCGCAGAAACGCGGCGCACTTCGCCATATTCTACCTCCTCACTACCTCCGCCTTGGCACAAATAGCCCGCGCACATGACGGCTCGATAATGGAGGTCCGACAATTGCACAAGCGAGCCACTTCGGCCGGATGCTTCTCGTCATCAACACCTCTTACCAGCAAGGGCTCATACCAATATCAGTCGTCCGGATACTGCGGTCAACAATGCAAGAGCCAGGCAGTCTTCGCCATGACTGGCGGCGACACGTGTCTGTGCGGTGACGAGTTACCCGCCGCGAGCGACAAGGTGGACGACTCAAAGTGCAGCACCTCCTGCACAGGCTACCCATCAGACAAATGTACGTCTCGTGTCGTCTTCGTATGTTCAACGGGGTACAGGTAACTGATAAGACGGACAGGCGGTGGTGACGGCTTCTACAGCGTATATTTGACAGGCACGGAAAGCGATGTGCCAAACTACAGCGCATCCTCAAGTTCAAGCTCAAGCTCAAGCGACTCACCCACCACAGCCACAACAGCTTCTTCAACCAAAACCACCAAAGCCCCTACCTCAACACTCGCTCTCATCACCAGCGAAGTAGCACAAGGCTCGACCGTAGTCATCACGGCATACCAACCAGTATCGACATTACCCGATGCTAGCGCGAGTGCGAAGAGCAGTGGAGGTGGAGGTACCAGCACCGCCGGTGTTGCTGCTGGCGTCGTTGTTGGTGTCGTGGCACTGGCAGGCATTGTCACCGGTCTATTCTTCTTCCTCCGACACAAAAAGAGGCAACAGGCAGAGGAGGACTTCAAGCAGCGGAATACAGTCGCTGACTTCATGCGCGGCGCCAACGAGCGGAAACCACCGGGCACGGGCTACAGTGGCATGAGCGATCAGCGACTCGACCCTGAAGCAGGTGCTCGGAGAAACAGCGTCGGAAGCCTGGCAGACAACCAGGACTATTCAAGGAGGATACTACGGGTATGTTGACTGACGCTCGGTCGGCTGAGGATCTACTGACATGTTTGGAAGGTGGCGAATCCCGACTCAAGTTAGTGGTCGTCCCATCGACCATGACCCTCCCTCCCAACAGGCACCGTCGCATGAGCGCGGACTGTCTCCGCGCCGCGGCGGGCCTGTTGACGCACCTACTTGACGACATCGACTCCGACTCTGAGATATCTGGACGAAAGCATCACGAAAGAAAACTCATCAGGAAACGCGGGCTTCGGCCACTGGCCAATACGTACGTGAACGATCACCATCAGCGGCGTGCGTGCCATGAAGCTCGACCACGGAATGGAGACTCGCCACATACGACCACCTCCACACCTCAACTCATCTACCTTGATCTGCCCACTCACCTTGACAGCGGAAACGACGATCATCAACCTCCTCGATACTACACCTCACCATTACAAAACCTTCTTCTCTTGCCTGTGGATAAGTTACGTTACGATACCCGGAAAGTCTGCTGCTCTGCATAATGGCGTTGCCATCACTCACCAACCATCACAATACATGCCACCACGACCACGATGATATCTGGGGGTGAATGGAATTTTGCACTTTGCCCGTGACCTGGCTTAGCATAATATCAAAGGGAGGTTCACTTTGCTTCGGCTTCTTTTGTTCTTGGGACGGATGTGGGTCAGTGTATGGGGTGTGTGTGCATGAAGGGACAGATGGGTCACGGGCACGGGCAAATCGTATCATGGCTGAGCTGGAAGGCCAACGCGGCAGACGCAGGCGCCCTTTTTACATAGTCTGTATCTGATGTTCCGTTTTGACATGAGACATTCTATCGGGAGAGGAAAGACGTGAGCCCGGAGCGGGTGACGATAGCTGACAGACTTGGTAGGCAGAGAGTTTTCAATGCGAATAGGAATGCGAACACTGCTTCACGCAAGTATCCGGAACATCCTGAAACGACGTATTCTGGCGGCACAGAAAGACATACGATGAACGACTGACGGAAAGAGACGAGACGAGGTGCGGATTCTCTTCTTCTTCTACTTCTTGACGAGGCTGTTTTCTTTCTGCTCTGTTGCGCGCGCGAAAAGACCGCTCGCTCGCTTTCTTTTGCTTTTACTGGCGCTTTTTGTTTTGTTTTCCCCATCTGGCAGGCAAAGAAAACGTCCGTTCAAAAAAGAGGCTGGTTTTGGTCATGTGGGGGGAAGAGATGGTCATGTTTCTTCCCAGGAAGAATTCTTCATGAGGCGGGTTTCGGATGTGGATGTCCTGCGATGAAGGCTGGTGTGGTATGGTGTGGTATACTTGTAGTCTTCCTGTTCTTGCCCGGTGCGTGCTTCTGAGGTAACAATCTTTTCCTTTCCTTTCCTTTCCTTTCGTTCCATCGTACGGCGGCCGAAAGAAAAAAAAACAAACGCCTCACGGCAAAGATCTCGCAGGGGGATGTTGAAGAGAAGAGCCAGACGGTTCGATTCCGAGCACATTCCGATCGATCGATTCCCACATCTCTTGGGTTGGTGATCGCCGTCGTCGAGCACGAGCGCGAGCGCCAGAGCTCATGCGTGTACCTGGCCAGCCGTTCATCAGCGACAGACACACCGATGACGTTTCCGGACATCCTGCGCCATTCTTTCGAGCGTTGTCCTCGTGGACGATGCAGCCGGGAGCTTTGTCCCAGGAAATTCAAGAGGAGCGACGGGATGACGGGGAGCAGATTGGAGTGCGATTCTGGGCAAGGGTGACTACCTATGTATGTATGTATGTATAGAGAGCCCTCCAGCTTGGCTCTCTCCTCCCGTACTCCTACTCCTCCGACATCGACATGGCCAGTTCCACACCACTGTCGTGACACGATGACCTTGGCCAAGACTGGAGAGGCTGGAGCGAGCCACATGCATTACATTACTATGTAGTAGATTCGCAGGTACACAGCAAAGGGTATAATAGGGTAGGATATATGGCCCCGCTCCTGCTGCTGCTGCAGGGGGGACGTCAAAGAAGAAGAAGAAAGGCCTTATCGTATCGTATCGTATCGTATCGTAAGGGCTCTCTCTCTCTCTCTCTCTCTCTCTCTCTCTCTCTATGCCCTTCTTTTTCTTTTCCCCCGCCTTCTTGCGGTGCGGATGCTTCCACGTCTTGTGCAGGTGCTTGTATAAGGGCAGTGCTGCTATGCTATGTTCTGCTCTTGCTCTTGCTCTTGCTCCACGTTAGGTAGTAGGAAGCCGGAGAGGGAGGTAGGTATACGAGTCGCTTTCTCTTTTATATTCCTCCGGCCTGGGTTTCGTGTTAGGGGGGGGGGGGGGGCGCCTTGGGTACGTGCACGCTCTTCGAATACGTTTGTTAGTGTCGTGTTGGGTTGGTCGGTCGTGGATAGGCTTTGGATATATATAGCCTTTTTCGAGGAAGCTCTGCTCTGCCACCCGCCGTTTCTATCAGTTACGTTACGTTACGTTACGTTACGTTACGTTACGTTACGGTGCCTGTTTGGCGGGAACTAACTGCTCGCTACGCTACGCTCGTATCGGTATCTTAGGCGTTCTGCTCTGCCGTAAGAGAGAGCCAGCTAGTGAAGGTGATCGAAGTTCGTTCGCCTTCTTGAAGTATGCGTAGATGGTAGCTTTGAAGTCGTTGATTATCGTCGTTTCACGGACGATACTGCCGTCTTGTCCGCGAGTGAGTAGATGCTGCGATAGACGCCATGGTATCATCGCTCCTTCTTAGCCGGCAGGGCGGCTTTCAGCTCGTCGCGCTCGACAAGAGCACCACCGAACGCCTTGCGGAGTTTCAGGTCTGCCCTACACTTCTTCTAATAGTAGAGGGTAAGTATGCCCTCCGCAAAAGCCTCGCCACGTGTGATGCACTGGTCAGCCTCCATGCTGCCGTTACCGACTGAGTCTTGTAAGCTAGCTTCGCGGCCAGATGACCGAGAAAGAGTCGGCACACTGTTCCCTCGTTTCGTTCGATCGATCTATGAAAAAAAGTCGGTTGGAGAAGGAAAAGAAAAGAGAGGGCTGGGGGAGACGAGCGGGCTTTTAAGTAAGTCGCTCTGCACGAGCTAGTTAGTTCCCTCCACGGTCCCTCTAATGACCGGAGTGATGATTCAGGTGAGGCAGGATTTGTTGTTGCAGTGGCTGCCATTCGTTGAAACAACTATGAGTGAGGTAGCTAGCAAAGTGTAGGGCGAGCTATGGATCATAGAGAGCTTTTGGAAGCTTATAAGGGGCGATCCATACGCACAAGTGACATTTCAATCACGGAACCTGGCCCTCTGTGTGGGCAGAGCAGGCACTTGTCTGGCCGGGATCAATTGCGACAAGAATACGATTTCGGTGAAGTTGTCGTGCTTTCAAGGAGGGCGAGCCAACGCCGAGTCCGGCTCTGATGGAGGGTATGAAAAGCTTACCTAGCAGTCGAGCTCTGCACGGCTCTCTGATCATGCGCTGCCAGTGACAGTGCCAAACGAATGTGAGTCACGGTAGCAAGGCGAAAGATCTCTGGTCGGAGCGGTAGAGTTTCACTTAATAATTTGAGAAGCATAGAATAATAGCAGGCATGCGCATCTTCGATGGGTATCCCGTGAACTCCAGGATCCTTCCATACAAGCTGCGTGATCACTTGCCTCCCAGCGCCGGACGCGAATATCAGCCACGGGTGGGGATGGAGCTCTCTTGAATCGCTGACGAGATGTTTGATGGAAGCGTCGCAATGGCTCGGGCAATTGTGGCAAGATGAGCGCAGCATTGACGCAGCCTTTTTCCTTTGGACGACACGGCGGTGGTGGCGGAGGCGTACGCTGTATGCTGTCGCGAGACGCAAGCAGACACGGAGCCATCGCGATAAATCGCAGCGTACTATATTGAACTCGCAGACCTCGTTCGGTCTATCACGCAGTAGCAGTGAAGGGCAATGTTGCATCGGCATAAATGGCCAATGTTTCCTTCTACAGTATCAGCTCTCGCGCAAACCGCTTTTGTATTGCTCGTTCTGTCAAGTCTTATTGCTCAACATTTCGGTCTTGGATGCGGCTACTCCCCTTTGGCCTCGTTGGATTGACTTGCCGCTCGGCGGAGCCCATCCGGATTGGGTAAGCGACAGCAAGGTCCGATCTCAGATTTCCTCCAAACTTGCGACGCTCCACCTCGAAGTAGGAGTCGATCCGGACGGTCGACTTTGATCGCCTTTCACAGTCAAAATGACCTCGTTGTTGCGATGGACGGGTGTTGCGACCGGAAGTGAAGTCGGCATAAGGCAATCGGGCCGACCACGTGCTTTCTCGGGCCGGAGAAGCCGTGGGATCCTTGTGGCCTTAGGCATCATTTCCAATTTCACGCTGAGCAGCACAATCAAATTTCGGGTCCCAGTCGAGATCGACGTACCGGAAATCCTGCAGGCCATCCTGCTCATCGTGCGCGAATTGAAAATCCAGGCTTTGCTTGCTTCCATTTGGGTCCGCGCGCGAGTGGGTTGATTTTCCTTTCTGGAGCCCTTCGTGCCCTACTATAATCAGACCGGAATCTTGTCTTTGTTGTCTCTATACCATCTTGTAGGCTTGGGTGTCAGCTCAAACGCCATCTTATACCGAAATGGAGAAGCGGTATGCAAAAGCATGCAGACTCTTTGGAGCCTGGCGCGTCCTGAGCCTGTATCGTCTTACCTGGTGAAACCTACGGGCGTCACTGGCGACTGGGCACTACAGCAGACGAACGTCTTGGCCATGAGCACGTTTCAGCTTCCGCTGAAACTCCTTCCCCCTGTGAGGGAGTATGAGATCCTAGCGAGCACTGCTGCGACATATATGGGAAGGCGGAGGGCATGGGATACAGGTAGAGTTTCACAACATTCTACCTATCCACCTGCAAGCACTCGTCCTCACTGGATGCTCAGAGTCCGAACTTGTCAGGTTGCCGGATGGTCCAGCGAGCTCATCGTCTCAAAGGGAAGTTTCCTTCACTTTTGCACACCGTAATCATTTCCGTCTCTCTGCTCCGTATGCAGGGATGTGACCTCCTTGTCACATTACGTTTTAAATCTTTCAATCCGTGGTATTCGCTTCAGTCCGTCGTTCAAAGGGGTCAACTAGTGAGGCTGGCAATCAAGCTCGGGCAGGCTCGAGAGCTAGCACACGGCGCGAAAGTCGGTGGAGAGCTTCAGTCCGTCAGGCATCTTCGGTGTCCGCAATCCGTGCAATGGGGTAGCTGCTCTGAGATCGGGCGACAGATCCGACCGTCGTTGCGATGGCATCGCAAGGCTCGAAATCGAGCCCGCCAAGCCCTTAGGGTTGGGACCTTAGGGTTTCTTGGGGTTAATTGCTCCATGATACATGACATGTGAACACCTCGCCACAGCAACGTTTTCTCGACCTGAACATATATCTATACACTCTCGGAGCTTCGTACGATATTCTGGGATGATTCCATGTGTATGTGTAGAATCTAAGTTCTGTGGAACATCTCTCGCTACTACAGCAGCCCCACCGTCGAAACTGCCGTGGTATTTTGCTCAACAGTGCTGTCCAGAAGAGTTGCAAATCATTGCGAACGCGTTGGGAAGCATCATTTGATTATCAAAATCGTCCTCCGCGGACCTTAAGGCGCAGGATAGTGAGTGATGCACTCGCCCATAGTCAAGATGCGTTTCTCCAAAAAATCCCTCCCATGACCAACCCAATTTCACGCACACACATATCTTCCTATCACTTTCCGCTTCTGCCGTAGTCGAAGTGACAGAACGGAATAGCAAAATGTACCGACATGCTACATTCTCGAACTTCATCATCAAGCAAATACTACACGATCGGGTATCAAGACGAGGACGCAAGTGGACCTTATTGTTTTATCAAGTCACGATAGCCCCTGCCCTGCTAGTCTCCCGTGATTATTGTGGACTACTAGTAGGTAGTATCGTGCTCATCAGGCCGTGTTGCGATTCCTTCCCTCGATCGATTCAAGACTGAACACGTCTCATGTCGTGTAATTCCCAGCATCTCCACAATCTCATTCCCTGCTACGCCTAGGGACCCGACGCTTTCGTATGGGAGTCAGAACTCGTCAGCTCATCAGGGACGGCTAGTCTGAGAACGAACTTCAGGTTTCCTCCTTCTCGGCGAGAGATGAGCATGCGGAGGGAGAGAGAGAGACATGCACAACGTAGCTGAAAAAGATTTGAGTAACTGAAGCAGAGAACCTCTCATCGTCTCAATTCGCACACACCCACCGAAAACTACAGACCCCAGGCAGCCGAGTAAGAACCAAAAAAAGCACTACCTACTATGCGCAGCCAACACACAGAACGCCACATCATATACGCTGCGTGCAAGGCAGAAAAAAAAATAGCCGCCAGAAAGCAATGCAAAGATATTTTCCCCAACAGCGCCTCTCCCTGTCAGTGCCGGTGCGTGCCTCGCTCGACACCAAGAAAAAAGGACCACGAACCATGCAGTGGCAGCACTGACGAACTAAACGAACGCAGCATGGTGGTGGCCTCTTTTTCATCATCAGCTTTCCAAGTCAGATAAGACAATCATTCATCTCTACTTTGCCTGGAAACAAAGTCTGACAGAAACAACAAACGCCGAAAGCAGAACAAACGGACCATCCCTTTCGTCTCCCCAGTTGTTGACCCCGATCCCATGTTTCCCAGAACGATTCTTCTGTACACGACCGTCACTGACTCCGGAAAATCCTCAAAGATCAATTCTTACTCTCTCGCCGAGACCCATAGTCCGCCGCCTCAATTGCTTTTCGTTCCTTGCGTTCCTTGATAGCAAACTGCATGTGAAGCGGCAAATGGTCACTCGGGAAATAGTGAGCCGGCCACCCAGGAACTTTCCGCATGTATTGTGAGTCCACCTGACCCAGCAGGCCCTGTACGCTCATTGAAGTCTGCGAGTAGAACACCCAGTCGATGACTTGTCTGAAATCTGGCGTGTAATTCGTGAACGGAAGCTCGCCGATGTGGGAGTAGGCGCTCTTGAGACTGAAAGGATGGCTCATTCCTTGCCGCGTGAAGTTGCCATAGTTGTTGTTGCAAAGCTCAGCGTGGGAGTTGGAAAGCGATCCGCTTGTTATGAGGTCGTACACTCCAGAGTCTTTCGTCGAGTTGAAGTCGCCGCATACAAGGATCGGGATTTGAGTCGAATCATCATATTTCATAGATGGCCCAGGCACCATCTTCGTAGCGTTGTCGACTCCGTCCGGGCTGTCTTCGTTGGCGTACTTGAAGAGTTCCTTGTCATGACACGCGGGCCACTCCGCGTACCTCTTCGAAAGCTTTGCGAGTTGCTCCATCATAATAGCCACTTGTACGATTTTGATATCACTGTACCACGGCTCCCAAGTAAGATGTGTGTTGGCAACTATCAATCTCGAGCCGGTCACGCGGTTCTCCAGGAAGACGACAATGGCCACATGATCTCTTGGCATCACCCGGTTGTACACATCGTGCTCTCCCTTCATGTCCGGACGCTGGATGGCTTCGCGGCTGAAGTTAATAACCTGCTTGTCGAGGAGAACATATTTGGAGTTCTTGTAGAAGATCGCAGGTCCGTCGACCGTCTTCGCTTCTTTCTCCGCCATCGTCATTGCCCTCGACTTGGCCGAATATACGCCCTTGTAGTCCTCGGTGGCCAGATTTGGTCGGAAGTAGTCGTTGTAATTCTCACCGTCGACTTCCTGGAGGCAAATGATGTCTGCTCGTCTGCCGGTCAATTCGCTGAGGATCATACTCTTGCGATGTTCCCACACGAGAGCTTCAGAAGGCGTGTAACCGTACACTTGTTGAGTGGCGGCCCGATCGCAGAGAATGTTCCAGCTGAGGACTGTAAAGCTGTCCGAAGCTTCGGAATTGTCGATTGTTAGCCATTCACGATCCATGGGTGGCTCAGGGCCTGTATCTATCGATCAGCACAGAAATTACTACTACTTTATACGGCAGTGACTTACGGGGTGCTTGCTCGCGGAGATATCGAACAAGCTCCTTGGTCCCGTGTTCCATCAATCGATCCTTGTAATCTGGTCTGATCGGGTTGCCCTCGATACCGAGCATCTTGAGTTGATAGAGGTGTCCGATCTCGCACGGTAGGTCGTCGAGGTGGTTGTCGAAGAGTAGGAGATACTCCAGATTTGTGAGCATACCAATCTCAGGCGGTAAACGCTGAAGATCGTTCATGGACAGGTCTAGAAAGGTTAGAAAGCGCATCTGCCCGATCGCTGGCGGTATGCTTCTGATCCTGTTCCAGGTCAGATACATCTTGCGCAGCTTCGGGTAGTATTTGATCAAAGCTGGTCCCACGCCCTTCAGTCCTTGGCCACAAAGATCCATGGAGTCCCATGAACCCATGTCCGCAGACTCATCTATGATCCGCCTCTTCTTGCCTTCTTCTTCCTCGCCTGGCTGATCAAAAGCTTCATTTGCTGGCGCTGTGCCAGGGAATCTGTTCACTGACGGCGCATTCCGGGCATAGTAATGCGTCTTATGTTCCGCCATCCTCAGGTCATTGTAAAGCTTCATCTGTTGCGCCCAATGCTCATTCCGCGGCTTCGTGTTCTCCGGCGTGCCGTTTTGCAGATGCGCGGGTGTGAAGTGAGGCGTCGTGTTGGAGAGGGTGCTGGTGGAAATGGTGTGCTGGTGGTTGGCGAAGTTGTGCTGCCCGCTGAGCCCACTATGGTCATTATGCTGGTTGTTCAGGTGATGACCCTGATGGCCGTGCGCTTGACTCTGGAACGTCTTGCCCAGGTTCATCTGTCCCTGAAAGTTCTGATGCGCCGCACCGCCGTTGAGCAGGCCATGATTTTGCCGATGGTTGTTGTGATTGTACATGGCGCCGTAGAGATTGTTGTGCGCCGGCGAGTTGGGGCCCGGCGAGCGGTTCGGGGAGGGCGTATCCGCGTTGGACTGGAACAGCCCTCTGTTATTGGCGATTGGAGAGCCGGCGCGGTGGTGCAATTGATTGCGCGGGTGGGAGCTGTTCTGATACTGGTATTGATACTGGCCGCCGGTCTCAAACCGGGGGAAACCATCGGCCATTACCAGGCGCGAATCGGCGGCGGGACGCTGCTCTCGCGGCGGCGGCGGTGTTTCGAGGAGATGTGTCTGTCGGTGGAAGAATGGACGAGGCTGTTCTTAGGGAGGAGGAGGTTCTGGCCGGCGCACTCTTCGTCTCCTGTACATGGGCACCCTCCCCGCTCTTCATGAACGAAAGATGTTGACCTGGCCCAGCTTAGCAAAGGTGCCGCCCACTGGGAACGTCCTCGTTGACACCAGCGAGGCGGGCGAGGGCAGCGGTAGTGGGAGTAGTTGGAGTCGAGAATGGCGCTTCAACGAGAGGCAGTTGTGACGGATGGCAGTCGATTTGGTCGTGGTGCGCGCTCGAGCGGCCGAATGGATGTCAATAGATGTAGCTGGTGCCTGATAATGGGGCTGCGGCGTCGTATGCGTGCTCTCGAGACGGCGATGTGTGTTTGACGGCGGTCTTTGATGCTATGCTACACGGTACCAGACCTCCCATCGAGCATGAGAGCGCTAGGGAACGGCCCGCATCCGCGCATCCACGTGACCAATGCTTCCGAATGTCTACCTTAGCTTTCGCTTTGGTCAAGCGCTCCCATCCCCATTTCTCCAGAATTGAAATGCGAACAGCTGAAAGTCACCATGTCATCACCAGTACAATAACGTTGTCGCCGGCTCGCCTGCCATGAGGAGACATCGAATAAGACCCGAGGCACACCTCCCTTCGAACTCCGATCTAGAATCTACCTCGTCGCCTCACCCAGCCTCTACCTACTACCAATACCTCCTCCTGATTGAGACGAAAGGAACCCAACGCGGCTCTTTCGTTCAGGACCTGTAGATGCTGCTGTCGTCGTCGCCTCACCTCAGGACCTGCCCCAGCTCTAGCTGAGATCCACACCTTCTTATTAGCTCCCCCGACGCCAGGGCAGCTGCAAGTCTCATCGCAACAAGCCTTTCCGCCTCACTTCACGTGCTCTCCCATCCATCTCGGCAGACGGCGCCGTCCGTGCTCCGCAGAAAACAAGGTGTACGTACTGTCCAAGGCTGCATCGTCGCCAATCGACGATGATTGACCATCTCCTGTGCCTCCCCAAATCCATCACACATCAGCAAGTCGGTCTTGGGATCCGCACCAATCGGCTAGTTCTACTGAAGAATACGGTACCAAACAACTGCCGCAGTGGTGATGCACCACACCCCATCAATAATCATCAGTTGTTCTGCGCCGCTGTTGTCTGGTTCACCAGCAGCAGGCGGTTCCGAATCGGCTCCAGTTCTGCTGTGCTCCGCTCCTCACACGTCAACGTCAGTCCGGACCGCTCGCTCCAAAATAAGCCTCTGAGCGCTGCAACGACATCCCATCCCGTCCGACATCTTGTTACAATAAAACGAAAGGACACCTGCCAAACCTTCTATCACCTCCCTTGATCCATCCCGTTCTGAAACAGCCAGACGTGCATCACTGATTCTTCTCCTTCGCTTCACACTTCCAATTTATTCACCGCACATCATTGTCGCCCCACCCTCTCCCACTCAGCAGCGCATTCGGCAACCCACTCTCAGCCTCCGCCGCGCATTGAAGCCGTCCTATTCGTCGACAACCTGAGATGCGGTACTCCGCTGCATCATTCGGCTCTTCAACTCGCAAGCACCATCAGGGCCCGGCTAGTGTGCGCATGGGATAGCTAGCGCGTTGTAGGATCATCAATTCCGGAAGACCTCGCTTCGAAGGGATACTCCGGCCAGACACAAGTGCTCGCGCGCATAGTCATAGAAACAAAAAGAGGGCCTTGTGTTCGTCAAGATGGAAGGGCTGATATATGGTTCGTCTCTCCCTCCATCCGGATCTTCATTACTTTTGTTGGCTGCCCGTGCTGTTATATCGTACGCTTCGCTCACTGTCATACCAAAGCTCTGACTGTTTCGCTTCCATCAGCATACAACACTCCCAACTCCGAAGCACAACGCTACTATCTCGAACACCGCCGCGCCCAGCTCGTCAACCAACGCAAACAATCTCAAAGCTCAGCAATCGAACACGTTGAACGGCCAACCTCTCATGGGTCAAATCCGGCCTCGCCGTCGGTAACACTACGGAACTCCAGAAAAGGATCTGCAACCGAGTCGCTCGTCGACATGGAGTCTCTGGCATCTGCCGCGCGAGCATATCCGCTCCTACACCCGCGACGACCTCCCTCTTCTGCGTCATCATCGTCAGATACCGCCACCATCAAAGCCATCTTCCGGACAATGTCGGAGCAACAAGAATTCGACCTCCTCAGCAATCCCTTTGAACTCCGTTACGGCAGAAGATATCTAAGAGAGCTACCGTATCCGCTCCCTTGCGACCTGGCAGAAATTCAACGGCAGAATCTCCGGACTTTACTGACAACCACAGTCTTTGGGAAACCGCTCTGTAATCCGAGATGGGAAACCGAACCGCCGCGGAGAGTCCTGGAAATGGGCTGCGGAGGCGGATATTGGAGCGGAGTGGCGCATGACTGGTTTCTCGAGCGTGGCCATCGCAACGTCGAATTTGTGGGACTGGACATTGCACCCATTGCGTCGGATCTCAAGGCAACCGGCGTGAATTGGAGATTTGTTCATCAAGACATGCGTCGGCTGCCTTTGCCTTTTGAGGATGATTACTTTGATCTGGTGATGATGAAAGACATCACCCTGACGATGCCGCTTGATAGGACTTCCGATAAGGTATTGGAGGATGTGGTCCGCATACTGGCGCCTGGAGGGGCGATAGAGCTCTGGGACTCGGACAATGTGATAAGATCGCTGGCTCCGGGAGCGCCGCCGGCGCCTTCGAGAAAACCGGAGGAACAGGAGATCGCGGAGCGGACGGCTACGTATGCGATAGCGCCCGGACATGCCTTTGTGCCTACGAGGAATAAACATCTGGAGAAAGCGAATGCTTGGATCGCGGAAGCCTTGGACCGCAGAAAGCTCAATCCGACACCTTGTGCGCGAGTTGGGGAGGGCATCGTGATGGAACCGAACCTGGAAGGTATCGGGATGAGAAGGGTGGCCGTTCCCTTTGGAGAGTTGAGATGGGAGCAGACGGCGGCCAGGCATAGCCGGCCAGACAGCAATGGCCATGACTCACCCATGTCGACGGGCTCTGGAGAGAAAGCAAGTCGGGCGCAGAAAGTCTTGACTTCCGACCAGCTCGCATTGCGACAGACTGCCTTGATGACCGTACTGCAGCAGATTGAAAGTTTCGAGCCGATGATGCGGGAAGTGAGTAAGAAGAATGCCGAGGAATGGAGCCTGTGGAGAGCAAATATGCTGGCCGAGTTGATGGATCCCAAGACGGCGCTGACAGGCGAGTGCCTGGAACTCGGTGCGTGGTGGGCCACGAAGAAGCAACCTTGCGATGAGATCTGAAGGAACGTTCTTGAAGTGGAAGGGCTCGTATGGCGTTCAGCTGTCGTACCGTTGCTTTAGAGCACGGTAACGCTTGAGGTAGTATCTGAGGGGTTTGGGCATTTGGGATTAGCAAGCGGGATGGCTTCGTGCATGATACCACTCTGTTTTATTCGAGCGTTCTGTTATTATTGGATGGACGGATGGACGTACAGGGCTTCTATCTCTAAATTTCCGGTATCGTCAGCCATGGATGGGAGATTTTTGAGGCCCCCAAAGCAGATCAACTCACCTTTCTTCACGTACTCGGCCTGCGCAATGCCCTTGCGAATGTCGTCTTCGTTCTCCAAGTCGGCTTTGGCACGGAAGGCCTTGTGAAGGCGAGGCTTGAAGTAGTCATAGCCGAGAGGGTATTCTCGCCCGAGGTAGAGGAGCTCTATATTATTGTTCGTGAGTGTTCTGTTCACGAACTGGGTGTGTTTATACGCGAGGCCATCATCACCTTTGTATATCCGGATGACCTGGTGTCGTAGTTGCGGAGGTGCCATGTCTCGACCGGGATAATGAGCCTTTCGGGACACGACACGACTTCAAAGGTGATGTGTTTTCGTTGATCTCGTTGGACTTGATTGCATTTCGATGACGAGTCTGACGATGGCTGCAGTGAGCTCAGTGCTCTCCGGATCGAAGGTGGAAGGTGGTGCCCCACAAACCACACAACCTCGGACACCTCAGACACGGCTCAGTCTCAGGCACGACAACCACGCACACACGCGACCACGACAAGACAAACTCGACCCAATGCCTCTCCGATGATTTTACCTTGACACAAACTTACAATGGCAACAAGGCGGTCTCTGGCGCTCGCGAGCCGCAGAGCGCCCATCCTCGCCAGCCCTCCTCGATCCCATGCGTATTCAACCGCGCAACCCACACCGGCAGAATCGACAACACAATCCCTCAGCCCGCGATGGCTCTCCGACGCCAAAGCACGCATCGGGCACTGCATCACCTTCGGTCTCCAGCGGGAGCAGAAAGCAGAAGCAGGTCGCATCCTTCAAGAGTTGAGTCGAGACTGGCGCGAGCTGGTCGCGGGCAGTGAAGGCTTCCTCACGAGCCGGGAGAGGCGTTCGATGTATCGATTGCCGGTCGTCTGGGGGGAGCAGGATCTCATGGTAAGGATATAATGCCCCCCTTTTCCCCCCGAGACACCTTTGGGGACGTGTTGTGTTGAGCCAAAGGACAGGCAGGCTAAGAGGAATGTGATTTTTTGAGGGTCATGTCAACAATGTGGTGTACAATCGCTATGCGGAGACGGGACGGATTGGCTGGGCTTCCAAGTATGCGAAATACATTGACCCGCAGCATGCGGATGCGTGGAGGAATCTGTGGACGCCAAAGGGCGATGGGATGATCCTGCGCAAGATCACGACCGAGTTCAAGTTTGTAAGTGTCCCGGTCTTGTACAAAGTCTTAACTCCAAATCATCAATGGAAGCTCACACGCCGCGCACACAGCCAATGCAATACCCGGATCACGTTACCATCTACCACAAGCTGGGCAAAGAGCCGACCGAAGCCACCGACACGTTCGATCTGCACGTGGTGATCATCAGCGAGCTCAAGCAGCGCATCGCAGCGCGGGTGGTTGAAGATTGTGTGCTGTACGACTATCGGAAGGGCAAGAAGACGCCGTTCCGGCCCTTCATGCTCGATGTGCTACGGGAGACTTGGCGCCTGCAAGAGGATGCGAAGCGGGTGAATAGCGAGCGAGTGATCGGCATCCTCGACAGGGTGAGGAAGCTGGAGACGGAGTCGTGGGACCGAGCGGACGCTGTCGAGGATATGGGCAGCGCCGCCACCACGTAGCTGTCGTGTCGTGTCGTGTCGTGTCGTCTGGACGCAGAGATCATGTGAGCACCACCCCAGCAGACCGCCCTTTTCGCATCGATGAATTGCTGTGGTGAATGATGACGTGCATGCTGTCCGGCACGTCGTGGTACCATACAAATTCCGTTGGCGGCGAAGAAGGAGAAAAAAAAATTGTTGCCTCATAATGTGCCAGGATAAGCCTGTTCAGGGAGCTTTCGGGTGCAGAAGAGGCGGTGCATAAGAAGGTAGGAGTAGGTTCATTGCGAGCCCGGCCTGTCCATGAGGATGAGGAGATTGTTGGGTGGCGGAAACAACCACAGCAGCAGCAGCAGCAGCAGCAGCAGCAGCAGCAGCAGTAGCTTACGACGCAAGGCGAAGTCTAAACATTCGGCCTCATGGGCATGCGAATACAGTATACCAGCAGAAGTAAAAAGCAGCTTCTTCTCCTTCTTACAGTACTACGAGTGGCACAAGTCGGCTCGTCGGTCGCTTAAGTTGTCCGAGCAGCAAGCCCCATCTTTCTCAGTGGAGCTCGGCGTATTACGTGCTGCTTAGTTAGTATTGGCGGTACGTCGATCCGTGCAGGCGGCCTGATTTGATAATTCTTAGGTAGGAGATGGGACTTCCCGTCATCATCATCCTCCTCCTCCTCTCAGACCATGGTATAATCAGTTAGTTCTGAGTGTATGGAAAGGCTTATCTGAAGAGCCCCCTTATCTCCACCTGCATACCTGCAAGACGGCTGGGCTGTCTCCAGCTGACAACGATTGGCTCACGAGTCATTGGATGCATGCGGCTATGAGAGGTGTCTCGTGACGGGAGTGTAGCCGTCGCCGTAGTAGAGGAGGACGGGGACGGGGACGGGAGTGGAGTTTTTCTTCGGAGCTGCTGTGTGAAGACTGATGAAGAGTGATGATCGGCGGGCATTGCATTGCATGCCATGGCTTTCCGCGGTGTCCCATTCGCGAATTGCTCCAGGTGTCAGTGATGGATGAGTGGGGAGGTCATGCCGCCCGTCGAGAGATTTGCGGTGCAGCGGAGCTAGAGGAGAGCTAACAAGGTGCATTATTATGTCGTGAACTGAAATGTGCGTGTTTGTGTGGTGGTGGTGGTGGTGGTGGTGGTGGTGGTCGTTTGGGGGGCGGTCGGCTTTCGCTCGGGTCGTTTCCGTAGGGGTAATGGAAGAACGGTTTGGGTGCAGGTGGTAGGGAAGAGTAGGTAATAGAGTTTTGTTGCCCTCCATCATCATCATCATCAGTCCTCGGGTGCGGCTACGATGGTCAATGGTCACGGTAGAAAATTCTTGGTCAAAAGCTCTGATCGCCGGCGTGTGCTGTGCCTTGCTGCTGACGGGACGCGGGCTGATGACGGGAGTTTCCTTCCTTCTAGCGCCTCCCGTCTCTGCCCAAGCGCAGCGCAGTTCAGATCTGGGGATGAGCCTACCCTACGCCTACGCCTACGCCTACGCCTACCTTGCACATCGACATCCCACTCACCACCCTCCCTCCTCCCTCCTCCGACACCACCGCCCACCCGACTCCTCCCTCCCCCACCGCCCCTCCCCGTCTGGCTCGCCCCCAAGCAGTGTGACGGGCCAGAAGGGACGGTGCTGCGCGACTCCCCCCACGCACTTTAATGCCTCCCAAGTGCAAAGCGAAGAACGCACCCAACCAGCACGACAAGCGCCACGAGAACGGCCTCGCTCCTCCCGGGAAGCGCATCGTCAGACAGCGCAGCAGTAACGGCCAACTGAATGCTCAGCCTAATGGCAAGCCGGCGACTGCTGCTGTCTCGCCGCCTGCCCTTCCCTCGACGGGCCTAAACCAAGGCTTCAAGTTCCCACGACCCGCAGACAATACCACTTCTCATTCCTCTTCTTCTTCCACCGCCGCCGCCGCCGCCGCCGCCGCCGCCGCCGCCAGGGACTATGAGCTTGGCGCGGAAGCCAGGGCAAGAGACAGGACTCCTTCAGACGCTTCGGCAGAGGAAGCAGGACCATGTGGAGAGATGGCGGACGAGCATGTTTCCACACCCGTGAGCGGGGATGTCTCGCCCGCGGCGACCATGTGCAGAGACAGACAACGACCAGGCCACACGGCGACATCCAGTCCGCTCAATCCCTTCTCTACAATCCTCGCCTACTACCCTCTGCGCGACGCCATCGCCATCCTCATCCTGCTCCTCTCCCTCCCGCCCACCTTGGTCCTCGTCATCCAGACCCTGTTCGCTTCGCTCACGTTCGTCCCGCCTACCGCCGGTCTATCGCTATCCACCCTACCCAACATCAAGGAGATATTCAATTCCTCGAATCTTGGCTATCCCGCCTTGGCCACGATCCTCTTCGTCGACTTGGTATTTTGGATCTTTTGGCTACTGGTGGGCAGGCCGTTGCAGGCCATCCTCCTCGATCTCTCACAAGCAGTCATTGCCGTATCTCTCAGCGGTGCAGCAGCCAGCGTCAGCGGACCGACGTACAGCATAGCCACTTGTTCAATCATTGTCTGCGTGGTTCACGTGCTCCGGTACAGAGCGATTCATCTTACCGCCCTGGACTACCTCCGCTCCGTACTACATAAGATGGACATCGGCATACCCTTTGATGTTCCTTCTTTTGCAACGCAATCTCATTCAGCAACACCCTTTGAACGCGGAATGGCGTTTACCGCCATCCGCACTATTCTTGGAATACACATAGTTTCGCAGGGCATCACGACCTGCATCCGCCGCACTCTCGCAAACACCAAAGCAAACGAAAAAGAACAAAACGTACCATCCATCACCAAGACCGACACCGAAGCAACAGCTGGGAGTGAACCGTCGTCGCGTCTGACCGCGGGACACGCAGATGGCTCGCCCCACTCGCATAGCGGCGCCAGTAGCGATGGACGCCCGCCTGGACAGCCTCCCGCCCACCGCGAGAGCAAACAGCGCGAATCCAACAGCAAGAAGAAACGGAAGCAGGCCAACCAAGTCCGGAGCCAGCAACCGCTTTGGGCAGCTATTGCTAGTACAAAAGTCACTTTCGTTAAAGAAATGGAACAGCGAGATGCGGCAGATGACGCGCGTGAAGCCGCTGTTATGGATAAAAACACAACCAACCCTTTTGCAAGCGCTACCAACACCACCACCGACCGCATCTGGATCTGCGAAGTTCGCGATACGGAGATCTACTTTGCCGTGGAACTCTCGCCAGAGACTATCTCCGCGAGCGTCGAAGTCAAGGAGGAGTCCGCTCCACCCACCACTGGAATCGATAAGTCGAAGCCTTTCTTCATGCGCATCAATGGGGCTACGTGGAGCTCGACCCGGATCATGTCGAGCGAGGAAGAGGACAAGACTGGTGGCGATCGTTACTTGGGCGAGATCTTTGGGCTGGCTCCGCTGAGCAGCTACCATTGTGAAGTCGTGAGTCTCGCGAGCCAGCGAGTCCTTTGCTCGGCGAGTCTGATCACGCAGCCCGCGCCTACGGCTGAGCAAGCTGCTGTTCCAGCACCATCCCAACATCAGGCTCTCAGGCCTTCTTCGCCAATCACCACACTGAAGCAGTCAATCCAATCCGCCGAGGCCAAGCTCAACGAGGTTCGGAATCGCTCCAAGAAGAGCAAGAAGGACCAAAGAGCTGCGCACGCCGACATCAAGAGAGAGATCAACATGTTCAGGAGCAAGTTGGAATCTTCGGGAGGCGTTGATGACAAACAAGAAAAGCGACTTCAGCAGATTAGTCAGCACAAGAACCAGGCCGAAGATGCGACTGCAAGTCTCAAGCAAGAGATTGAGGCCATGGGTGACCTTCCTGCGGACGAAGTGGCAGCAGCGCAAGTGAAAAGACGTGCTTGGCAGTCGGCTCTGGACACCAAGAAAGCCGCGGAACGTGATCGCGACAACGCTAAAGCCGAACAGCTCCGAGAGATTGACGCATTGAAGTCTGAAATTGCTGCAGCTGCGACTAAGAGAGACAAGCTGACGACCCGCAATACTCAACGGGCTCAAGAATTGAGAGATGCGTCTGAGAAACAGCAAGCTGCCATGACAGCCAAGCAGAAGCGAGACTTTGAACGCGCGTCCACACTGAAGGATCGGGAGAATAGGACACACCAGGTTCAATTCATGATCAACCAGATGGAACAGGAAATGCACACCCACCAGCAGAAGGGTAACGAGGCTTGGCAACAGTGTCAGGCGCTCGCCAACTGGACGAGCCAGCCACCGCCGGGCTACAGCAGCTACTCGACTCCTCCCACGCCCGAGGGTCCTCTTCCTGGCACCAACGGTCAGATCAGCCCTCAGGCAAACGGCTCCTTTCCTGCTGCTTTCGGTCCACAGCCTTACCATTCGCCTTTCAACGCCAGTGTCGCCCTTGCAACCGCCGTGGCCGCAAACGCCCCCGGCGGTCCTCGCGGTCGAAGCTCGTCCATGTTCAGCCAATATTCCGGCTTCACCGACGATGGCGAAGGCTATGTTTTCGAGCATCGACCGCAGAGCTCCTGGCCTGTTCAGTATAGTACCGGAGCTGGCGCCGTGGAAGACCGCAAGGCGAGCGACGGCGACACTGGGTCCGGGTCTGGGTCCGGTGATGCGAGCATGGTCAATGAGAGCCCGAATGGATCGAATAGTCCTCGGCCTGATGCGAAACCTTTCGTTCCGAGCAAGAACGTGGGCACTATTGGTCCTCCGGGGCGCAAGATTCCTCAGAGCCCGCCTTCGACCCATGCCGGTGCGGCTGGGACTGGTAGATAAGTCTGTAGCTTTGCTTGCACAATGAAGTGGTTTTTCGTGTTGTTCTCGTGGTACTTTCCCTTGCGCATCAGATAGTGTACGAATCGGCCCCCCTTGTCGGACGGAGCTAACATGACATGTCGTGTTGTGTATGGTCTATAAACTACTTGCAGTAAGTATATCGATCTGGGGGGACGATGGAAATTGATAATAATAATCATCTGCCATTGGCGATATTATGTATGGTATGTATTTGTCGAGAGCTGGCTGGCTGTTCTCACCTTACTTAGCAGTCGAGGGCTACTGAAATGGAATTGATTTGATTTGAAGAAGCATACACGACCGACCGGACTTGCTCGCTCGATAGGTACCTTAGAGAGCACCAAAAGTGAAGCCACAGTGACGGACGTACGACGGAGACTAGATACCAGGTACTCTGAATTGCAGCTTTCATTCAAGAATCTGTCATCCTTTTGGAGGGGTGCTTGGAGTGTTCTCATTTTCAGGTATTTTCCTGATCGTATCGTGACAGGTTTCCGTACCTGTTGTCGATTTGGAAAGCGCCATGTAGTTAGTTAGTTACTTATCAGCGCTGCCAGTCGCAATCCACCTCACATTCCTCGCACGCGTTGCTTGGGGCCCCCTTCCCGCCCTCCCTTGATCGAGCACACCCCAACTCATTCTTTCCCTCGAGGTGTTTACGTCGCGAGAGTTTGCATCTGCGCTGGCGTTTCAGTTCCCAGGATCCCCATTTCTATTCGCGCGTCAAACCAGGAAGCCCAGGTCTCATTTCTCCAAAAAGCTTGAATTGTTGTCCGCTCGTTTTTTTTTTTTGCATCGTTTAATAATCGCATCTCATCTGGATTCGGAGCCGCGAGAGAAGATTGCGCTTGGAAAGAGATTTGCAAAGGCTTCCATAACCGGATCGAGCGGCAACATCAAATCATGATGCGCGACGCAGTCTTGCCGTCTCTGTTGTGCAGTTTCCTCATCCTGTCTTGCGCCGCGAAGCCGATCCAGCCCGTCGAGGTGCTCCGAACAAGCTTGGTGAAGCAGGCACAAGATGTGCAGCAACATCCCATCGCCAGACCGGTTCAGCACATCCCACCTCCGGAGACGATTCCGCAACCGCCGAAGCCGCATCATCGATTCGACGCAGCAGAAAACTCCGTCGGCCTGCTGTTGACCACGCATGACGAACAGGTGGTGCATGTTTGGATGCCGATTGGAAAGAAGGTCTTCACCCGTAAGTTCATCACCCTAGCTTCTTTACTCTCATCGGTCTTGCGACTGATGGCGTGTGAATATAGGCGATACCATCATCTTGCCCGTGAACCCGATGACTGCGAGAATAACTACCATGATCAATACCTCGCCGAGACTTGCGGCTCCCGAACAGCTCGATCGGATATCGTGTGACATCTGGACACATGCGAATCGGACTCGCGGGCGAGGAAAGGGCTTGCCCGAGAAGTGGAAGATCTCGTTCTCGAAGAACGATGGCCTGGTGAGGTTCGCAGACGACGCGGCGCCATGGAAGAGATGGTGGCTCGGCGGCAAAGAAGTTGAGAGCTATGCTTGTTCCTAAAGATGATGAGTCGAGCCAGGCCAGGTCACTGTGGATGTCAACTTGGGTAGTGGCTGATCTTGGGTATCTGTGATCGCCTTCTGAGCGTATCCTGCACGGAGATCGAGGGAGCATAGCCTGCTATTTCCTTTTGATGATGAAGTATGGACCCGGTAATCCTAGTACTTTCAACCTTCTTCTCTTGGTGCCATACCCACCATCTCATACGTTCCTGCACCGTCTCTTCCTGGTCCACCTCGAGCACTTCCCATCGTAAACCCGGCTTCTTCACCTGTCTCCGGCGAGTGTCCATCTTGGGCTGAAGGTGAAGTTCCTTGCTGTTTCGATCCTCCCCCGAAAATCATGGGCCGTAGCTCTCGCCATTGACACGCCCACATTCCAAGTGAGATCATGAGGCCAGCAGACAAGATCTGTAGTATCCACCAGGCAGCAGTGTTGGGTATCGCGTGGGTGTAGAGGGACGTAACGATGAGGTTGATGAAGTGGATTGTTAGGGCGAAGTCCGGTACCAGTTTGCTTCGCGCAATCAGAAGAAGAATTGGTATCACTCTATGCACCACCGTCAGCCTTACCTCCAGTACCCTTCCATATTCCTCTTCTGGAGAGATCTTACGTGATCAAGCTATCCAGCATCCAACACAAGCCTAATGTCCAACCGGTTGTGACATCTCCCCTTACATTTCTCCAGTCGAAGAACATGCCCGGCTCAGGATGTTTCCCAGCGACGAATGTGGTGAAGATGATGAGGACGACGGCGACGCCATAGTAGAACATCTGCAGCAGGAACATCTGGGTGAGGATGCGCAAAGGAGCGAGATCCGCCAGAGCTCCTGGTCGAGGAGGACGTCTTCGGCGCGGCATCTTCTAGTAACTTGGGGGCTATCGTAGTCGTAGTGGTATTGTTGTCGGCGACATTATGGTGGTGTAGAAAGTACACGTTGATCTGCTTGGCAGAAACATGTGGAAGAAGAGCTGCGTTTCGTCCCGGGAACGGATTTAGATGCGGCTCTACGGGGCGTCTTCCCGAGCAGCCGAGCCAATGGCGACGCGAATGGAGAGCTTGACCTCACATCTCCATCTCCAATTGAGGATACAGACCACCAGCGACAACATCTCCACTCCACCCATTGCTTGCTGTCGTTGTCGTTACCGCCCACAATGACGACGCAAGTCGCGAATCAGGACCAAATCACGGGCGTCTACCAGCCCAAGGACGCTGTCGGCGCGGCCATCAAGGCCACCGCTGTCACAGGCGCGGCTGGTGCTTTCATCTCTGCCATCCAGAACACCCTTACCAAGCAGAATGTCGGCGCCATGGCTTTTCTTACCCGAACAGGAGGAACAATCTGGACGTTTGGTAGGCCTCGAGCTGCAAGTGGGAAGCCCTGAGAATTGCAAATGGGCTAACGGAGGTCCTGAACAGCTGCCATGGGAGGCTCCTACGAATTCGTCAAGTGCGCTTGCGCAAACTTGAGGGAGAAGGACGATACGTGGAACGCGACATGGGGAGGTCTTGCTTCTGGTGCAATGCTGGGTTTGAGATGTAAGGAGGAGACGGATATCCTCGACTTGCTACGTCAGCATGCTAATGGAGTGACTTATAGTTCGCTCAGCACCAGCCGTATTTGGCTACGGCTCCGCTTTAGCTGTCGTGATCTCCGCTTTCACATACACTGGCGGCAGACTTCAGGGCTACCACAGAGACCCCGACGTCGACGAGGTCAGCCGGAAAGAATACTTGAGAAAGAACAGGAGGCGGCCGATTGAGCAGACAATCAACGAGTTAGGCGAGGGAAGAGGTGCGTATATCAGAAGATGCGTTCGTCGAGAGACTGGAGAATCGCGTCGAACTGGATCCTTGAGATCATGGAGCTAACACGAGACAGGTATCTATGCTCCGGGATATGAGCAGCGGAGAGCAGAACGAATCAAGGAGCGATACGGCATCGACGTCCCAGTTCAGTCCGCAACTTCGTAGCTGGGTTGAGAGAGCTTGAACCCTTGGTTGGAATGCGGACTGTACATATACTCACCAAACCAGATTCCCCATGTTCATACAATTTCCTCGCTTCAGGACTTCACGAAATTTTCCCCCTCGAGGATTGCCATGGCCTTCATGATCAGCAGTTGATATAACGATATCACCAATGCACTCTACTCATCGATCTGTACCTCCTCAGCTGGCTTCGGAGCATCAGCACTCGCAAGTGACCCTGCTGTTTCACATTCCCTTGAGACCAAGACAAAGAAAGAATTTTCACCGAAACATCTACAGTCACTATGCCGAGCCGGAGCTAGTAAGTCACTAGCACCACCGGATTCTGCACGCTCGAAAGCCTTTGTCTGGCATTCAAGGCGCTTAATTCCATGTTCCAAAGGCCGCATCAATGTCATTGTTTGAGCGCAAAGCACGCCCGGCTTGAGCGAAGAGCAGATCTGATTTGCTGCAGCCCTGTCGTAGGGGGATGGCGACGGCAAAGTAACTACACATTGTAGCTACAATGGCCTTGTTCGAACAACACATTACTTCACGGAGTAAGTGCTCGACCGTTGAGGTGCCGAGTATGAAATCCATACTTAATCCCTATCACAAGCAGATCGAGAGAAACCTCCAACGACATATCTCTTCAAGAACATACAACGATCCTACAGATCTGCCTGGACCACACCCTTGCCGAATACACCAGCTCTGTGGACTCCATCTCAACTTCTTCTATCCGCAACCGGACACGTGAGCATCTTTGGCCGTGACGAGGCACCGAATTAGGTTTCTAGAGATCGCATAGCAATTCATCTCGACAAGGATCTCGAAGGCCTGCTCAAGCCACACTGGCCATGCCTGCTACCATCGACGATATGTCAACGTGCGATAGCAATCTCGACGGCAAAACTAAAAAGGACTTCAACAAACTCTTCCGACAACTCATCGAAGATGATTCTGAATCTGTTCGACGCGAATCTCAGATCATCCATTACAACACCAACCTGAATCCAATCCACTTGTTTGGATGGCTTACTGATGTGTCAACTTGGCCAGCGTGTGATGACTATTGTGAGGTTGGGTACCTGATAGAGGATTTACTGTTCAAGCTCAAGGACGGATCGTTGGCGCTGGAGGAGGTGGGCTTGACACATTGGTGCGCTCTGTCCAAAGCCAAGCGTACCAACTGGAAGAGCATGCTCCGACTTCTCTCGAAGGCTGTAGAGCGTCCTGGTCGACCTAAATTGGATTATCTGGATGCTAGTGACGTGGAATTTGCGGCCGCAGCTGCGGTGAATGAGTCGGATAATGTCAGAAACCCTGCGTGGCATCGAGCTTCATAGAATACCCAGAACGGCGATTGAGATTCTTCGTCTCATGGGTATGATGCGGATCATGGCCAACAGAAGGAGGAGAGTGGACAGGAGTCGGGCGAGTGAGGTCGTCGCAGTGATGAGGCAGATCTAGAATGCGCATTGCGCTGAGGTCGACGAGATCAGCGATGGAAGCTGTGTCACCATCACACGAAACGGTAGCTCTTTTTTCTTGAGGTTGTCGGACAACGGATTTGTCTTTGATGGCGTTCGGGTTCCTGTTGAGAATTGGTCAGAAAAGCTGGATGGCGCGGAGTGTTTGTTTCGGAATGAAGTGTTTGAAGCAGGGCCAAGGTTTAATGATGGGATGTCTTCTACTGCTATATGTCCAAGTGGACCGGGATGGCAACAAAATGAAAGGTGAAATGGACATCGTATCTACCTCCGCAACTGGAGGAACGGATCTGATCATGCAAAATATGATTACAATTGAGTGACTTCAAGGTGCCCTCTGGGAATGAACACAAGCGTGTATTCGTATGCTTTGGTCGAAAAGTTGATATTGAGCGTCGCTCGAATATACCGCTGCTTTCTCAAGTCAACCTGCTAAGGCCTCCTCCACCTTGGATCGTCTCAAGTGTACATGCATACTCGGAGTTACAGCTGTTCCTCGTGGTGCCTGAGGGAGTCAATGCCAGTCAGCTGCATCGAAGCAGCTCGAAATATCAATGCTTGCAGAGACATGTGACAAAGGACCAAAGGGTATTCCTGGCTTCAGCCGGCATCATTTGCCTCCAGCAAATGGGAGCTCAAAGCCATCCGATTCGACGTATCGTTGCCCTATAGATGGATGGCTACTTGCCTTCGCGCGAAAATACGCGTGGCTGTGTGCGATGAGATGGATGTGAGTTGTTGATGTGTGGAACTTGAGCAAGAGTACCTTGAGCAATGCCAATTTGTATA